TATTTGATTATGTCTCATGGTCTATGGGACTACATCCCTGTGTTCTGTACTCTATGACTAAGGTAAAGGACATTTTAACTGACCAGTACCCTTCCCTCTGTTCCAGTAGTCACTTGTGAAAAAACTGGAGTCTCACGGAGTGGGTGGGGTTATATTAGGGTGAACTAGGGGCAGCCCTATCTAAGTCACCTGAATGTAGCTTGCATATAACACAGGGTGTATAACTACGACCCTGTGTCCGGGCCTGTACTCCAAAAAAAGGAATTTACAGGTAATTTAAAATTCACTTTTTTTCTAGTATTTTGCATTTAGAAGTAGCGTACGTTTCAGAATTCAACAAGTGTGGGGAAAAATGAAAAGAGTACTAATAATGCTGCACATTGAAAGGAAGGATATAAATATACAGTATACACTGAGTTGTATATCTAGAGATTACTGTGAAAAAAGAGTGAATCAATGACCTTCACAGTGCAAAGCAATTGTTATACTGTATTTGTTGATGCATTGATGTATGAATTGATTAAACTCACAGGTATGCCAAAGACAAAATTTACTCTTTCAAATTATCAAGTATTTGGTTCAACTGGTAGAGTTTTTTAAATTGTAACCAACATGAAAAATGGAAGCATAAGTATTTGAATCTGCAGCTACTTCATAATAACTTGCAGTGGGCATTGTTTTGAATAATGAATATAGATAAATGTCAAAATTGATGACAGGTATATTTTGGTATTTGAGCTCAGTTGACAGTATGGGGTTGATTCACTAACGGCAAATAAGCTGATCACTTTTCAAGGGTATTTTAATTTACCTTAGTGAATGTGGTGAATATTCACTTTGTAAAAAATACCAAATCACAGCCAAGGAAAATAAAAACCGTATTTTTGCATGGTTAGGTGGTGAAAATCAGCAGAGCCTCACCTTATTCACTAAGCAAAGGGAAAATTCCTTTGCAAGGTGAGAAGCCTAATTGCCTTTAGTAAATCAACCCTTATGGCTTGACATCAATTGATTCATGTTCAGATTTGTCCACATCATCACGAAAGACTTAGGGTGCATCCACAAGTTCTTACATGCAATCACAGTGTGGGTGCATTTGCAAGTTTAAATGCATGCTTAGTTGTTTAAACAGCCTATGTGCCCCAAGCAATATATCTAGAAAAGCAGAACATTTTGGATATAGAACAAATCTCTAATGCATTTTGAAGATGAAAAAATTAAAATTAGAAGTTATGCGTGATCTTGGCATTATTAGTATTGACTGCGTACATTTTAACTGATACAGAGTGCACTGCAGCTTTAGGAGGACCTGAAGAAGGACTGCTTTTAAGCTCCATGTATACATTGATTGCCTATACATCTGTCCTACCCCAATGGCACCCAGAAGCAAAGAAAATTATTGTTGCTGTATAGACAAAGTACAGGTCCACATTGAAACATACTTTGCTTTTGCAAACTTCACACATCTGCATTATTCTTTCCTACAATGTACACTCTCACCGTGTGTATACAAGCATCTTTGATTCTTATAGAAGTGAATTCAAGCTTTATTTCTCCATTGATAGCCATAGGATGCTGTCTGTGAGCATACTGCATCTGTGTACATGGAGTTTTGATTTACAGATTACAATTACTAAGTAACAGATGTGTTTAATATATGAAAGTGCTTCATTTTTTATTAGCCCAAGTAGTTCATCATGTTCAATGGGTGGGGTGGACATGGGGAAGGGAAGTATAAACTCTTGTAGTACGTGCTATCAAGGGAATGTTAATGTACCTAGTTCAAGCAAGTAAAAAGGTTTTCTGGTCTATAACCTAACTCCCTGTACTACTTAAATGTTAAGGCTAGGTTCACACCTATGGAGTTTGTGTTTGATTTGTTTCTGCAGTGCTTTGCATTTTTGCACATGCGTTTTTGACATGTTTTGCAGGGTTTTGCAGGGGTTTTTTGCCAACTTGTTGCTTCGCAGATTAAAGCCGAAAACACATAAATATGCATTAACAGTGCATCAAAAACGCACTACATGCATTTCTGTAGCATCTCCATTGAAGTCTATTAAACCAAAATGCAACGGTTTGTGTTTAAAAAAGTCCCTGACCGTTTCAAAAAACTCACCAGGTGAAAACACGGAGATTTGAACGTGTCCCATAGGAAATCATGTTAAATGTACTGTAGTACATTTCTGCAGAATGCAAAACACACCGAAAAACACTTAGGTGTGAACCTAGACTAACTGTATATTGTACCTTAAAAAAACTATTTTTTTAATTATTTCTCCACTGTCCCAACTCTGATGGAAAAGTCAAATTTCTTTTGTGTCTTGAAGGCATGGTTTTAAAATAGTGTGGTTTCAATAAATAGAGGTTGGGGGTAAGTCTTGGATGGGTTAGAGCCATGACTGCAGTACATTGGATTTCAAATGACAAAAGCAATATCTACTGTATATGTAAATACACTATATGATCAAAAGTTTGTGGACACCTGATAATCTCACATACTATATGGAAAAAATTACTGTATGTGATACCTCCTCCTAATTATTGAGTGCAAGTTTTTTTTTAATGCAGGCTCTTGTTAATGTTACATCATACCAAGAAATATTAAACAACTGTGTGCTTCCAACCCTGTGATGACAGTTTTAGGACGTGACTGTGCCCAAAAGTCAGTTCCAAAATTCTATGGTTTGATGAGCTTGGTGTGGAGGAACTGAAATGCCTTCACAGAGCCTTAACCTCAACCCTATTGAAAATCTTTGGGATATACTCAAAGGCCTATTGCGTGCCAGACCTTCTCATTAATTCTCAGTACTAGACCTCACAAATGCTCTTTTTACTAAACGGGCCAAATTCCCACAGACACGCTTTCCAGTGGAACCTATTATAGCCCCAAAGTGTTTTTCAGTTGTATATCAATGCACATGGTTTTGGAATGCCATATTTAACAAACTGGTATATTGTAGGTGCGATGGTCAGGTGTCCACAAACTTTTGATCATATAGTTTATGTGCATTTGTGACAATGTGTGTAGAAAATGCTTTAGAAAATGTTCCAGCTGAAGTTATCTATTGTTATATGGTACCAGCTGAATTTTACTTGGCTATAGTTTCATCAGTTCCTGTGCACTCAACAATAAAAGCAGAATACCTCCTTTAATGTTTACTAAACCCAGGACCCTGCATTCACTATATCCGGTCTTCTACAGTATACAGAACATGGAAATGCAATTATTTTAGTAAATATAAACTGCTAAATACCTTTTCTCACAGCAGTATATAGCAGTCTTGTGACTTTTATCAGTGTCAAACTGAGCACTAGTTAATCTTGTAGGAGGAGTTTTCATTCTCCTCTGACTAACCTATGGGGCTGCATGACCCCTGACCCTCTGTCTGGACAACACTGATTGGCCCTGTGCCAATCACATGCACCCTCCAAAAAAAGAAAAAACCTCTAGCAATACACACCAAACAGAGCATGTGCAGACTTGTCACTGTTGCTCTGTACTATGGAAGATGAATTGGGGACAGTAAAAGATGGGAGGACCAGAGAAGACAGGATCAAACAGCCTTTTTACAAAATGCAAAGTATTAACCCCTTAGGTTCCACAGTGAGCATAACAAGCATGCTTTACTACATATACAGACTGATTACTGTTGTGGGTTTAGTAACACTTAAACAGGAAAAAAGCCAGTTCACTGAAATGTCAGTTTCCCTCTTAACTGTTTACCTAACTTTCCTTCTGTTTTTCTCTTCTCCATCACTCAATTTTCTTAAAAGTGTGAGGAAAAGAAGGGCTGTTTACAATTTACCCGACCAGATGTCCGATGCTTAAAAAGGGCTAAGAAAACAAATTTCTTATATCTCTTTAGATCTCTGGTGGTGAGATCGAGGGGCTTGAGTTCGCAGATCTGTACAGCTGTCACTGTGATTATAAGGTCCCACTCTCCCTATTGGATTTGTTATTTATTTTACATGGGGAACGTAACCCTAAATGGGCTGGCATACACAAAACACCAAGAGCCAAATATATGGTTACATAGTTAGTCTGGCTGAAAAAAGGCAAAAGTCCATCCAGTTCAACCATAGAAAAAAAAAAAAGTTATAATCCTATACCCACAGAGGAAGGCAAAAAAAAAAACCCAGCAAAGCATGATCCAATTTGCTCCTGCAGGGAAATAAATTCTTTCCTGATCCTCCGAGCTGCAATCGGATATTCCCTGGATGAACTTTACCTATAAATGTTAGTATCCAGTATGGTGGAGTGAAGCTTTCCTTTGGGGTTCTCAATTTCCTGGCATCATCTTGTTACTGCTGTTAATATTATCGTAGACATTCACTAACTTATCCTACTGTATATTCTTTGTGACAGCGAGAGGAAAGTGCAGCCGATAACCAGCAACTGCATTTACCAGTGATCTGCTGTGTCATTGGGCACGGCTGATCACCTGGTAAAAGGTAGCTGTGATTGGCCTTTTACCACATCACGTGATCAGCTGTGTCAGTGGGACACAACGATCACGGAGATTGCCCGGTGCGCGCCCCCAGGGGTGTGTGGGAGGGCACGTTCTGGGAGGACCTCCCAGAACGTCATATGACACCCTCGCAGGACTGGACAACCATGCTGTAGCAGTCATTCAGCTATAGTGCAGTTGGCAAGTGGTTAATGTTGGCAATAGTTGTGAATTAAAAGTGCAGCTGCAACAAAGCAGTTTAAGAAAGTGGTTTAGAGAAATGTGTTTTGGAGAGATCTACAGAACAAATAAAAAATATTATTATGTTAAATGTCAAGATATTCATAGTAACCAATGAGATTTCAAGATTTTTTTGAGTGGATTCAATGGAGTTTATTCACTAAAGGCAAATAGACTGTTCACTTTGCCAGTGCAGTTGCACTATTTTTCCTCAGAGTTTAGAGCATTTGGAGAAGCTCTGCTGATTTCAATCATCCAATCATGTGCCCCTGATTCGGTATTCTTTACAAAGTGAAGCTTCACCGCATTTACTATGCTGTGGGGAAAACACATGCAACTGTATTTGCAAAGTGCACAGTCCATTATTAGTAAATCAACCCCAATGTAAAATAAAACCTGCTCAGGGGCGGACTGACAACTCATGGGGCCCCCCGGGCAATAGGGGATCATGGGGCCCCTGTGTCCTTGCCCAAACTCAAAAAAGCCTATGAAAAAGGTACCAGGGGCATCTCATGGGGCCCCCTACTGACCCCGGGCCCTCGGGCAGTGCCCGAGTTTCCAAATGGTCAGTCCGCCCCTGACTCTGCTTGCTATAGGTAGAATTTGTGCTTTGCCTAAATCACAATATCCGGTTATGTTGATAAACTGTGTTCATCTTTATGCAATTTAAAATAGCATTGAGTTATAAACAAAAATGATATATTCAGTAGCTGGAATATGTTTTGTAGGTTAATGGATTTGGGCATAACTGTATGCTTTCAAAAGCCACCTTCATCCCATTTAGAACTGCCACAGTCTATGCTTCGTTTTCATTGAAATTCCAATTACAAAGCTGGGCACAGGTTTTTCCAGGTGCTGATCAGGAGTTGCAGTAGAGAATAATGGGAAGTTCTATTTGCACCTTGACTCATGTGCTGGTTTTATTACTTCAAGGCAGTCCACCATCAGTGCCTAGTACATGTACTGTCCTCTGTAAAAGGAATTTGGAATGAACCAAGTAAAAGCTTCATTGGTCCAGGCACACCACTTAACTGATGCTTGGCTTGAGAAAGCACACAGATATGAGGTTTTACAGGTAATATTGGTTTTGAGTCCAGGGATAGTGTATATGCCAGACACTTTACAAGAACACACTTTTTCCTTTAGACAAAACCCTGTATTACATACTGTCTATGAAACCGAAACATTGATTACTCAGCATATTTTTGCTGTGATGCATTAAACTACTGGTAAAAGGCCTGATTTACTAAAGTGTGATGTGAGATTAAGTAAACTGCATCTAGCCTTGATATATGATATTGTCATATAAGATGAAGTGAATCTGTGTCAAATTCAATTAACTTAGGAAGACAGAGGTTTCATTTTGTTTGTTCATGATTCCATACATGAAGTAGCATTGGGTCAGTAATCAGGACTAAGTGCATAATTTTACAGTCCTGCTAATTTGTCTTTTATTTTTTCAGTTTCATGTCACTTTAAGTCATGTCTGGAATGACATTTCTAATAACGTGGGTCAGACTAAAATCCTAATTAAATCAACTTTTAGAGCAGCAGTTCCCTTGGACAATGTCACCGTACATATTTTTCACCTGTTACATTTTTTTTCTGCCTTAGGGTAATTTAGAATATGGTCTAAAATTTCACTAGTACCTTTTCTCTCTTAGTTATAATTTGCTTATTCCTATCAATTTTCTCAGTGTCAGATCATATGAATGATTGTTTAGCCTGCAAAATAACTGCCAGCTGCACAACTAGGTCACCGGTTCTTTTCAAGAGAAGCAGCAGACGAAGCTGCAAGGTAAGAAATCAAGGTGCTTAGACACATAAGCATGTCCCTAAGAGCCTGCCCCTCATAAGCAATGCCAAAAAAACAATTCCTGGTAAAATGAGTGACCCCATTTATTGGCATTTTCAGTGTGACAGGATTGTTTCGTGGAGTATTACATCTCCAGAACATTAGTTTGTGTGGTGGTGTGGTGCATTTTCAAATTAATAGAGTCATTACCCTAAAAGGACAGTTTGTACTCTGCTACATTTCTGTCCATATTTTTCATGGAAACATTATCTTGGATAAAAGAGCTTCAGTCTGTATTTATTCAGTTTTTAACCACTGAAGCATTTTAATACAAAAGCTTAAATTAAAATAGGTAACCTTTGCAGGATACCTTAGCAATGATGTGAATTTCTTGGAGAGAAAAAAATATTCTCTTTTTCAAATGTAGAAAGATACCAGGGTGTGAAATAAAGCATGTTGATGTCACGCTTACCCCTAACACAGGTGGTCAGGCACTATAGCTAGCTTCTGTGTTTTTCACCTATAGCAACCTCCTTTCTCATAAGGCAAGCAGACCTACTGGTATTCGGTTGCCCCCACTTATACATAATGCTATAGTGCCTGGTCGCCATGACAAGGCAGGCGTGAACTGAGCAAAGCAAACAGGTACTTGTGGTTGGCAGACAGGCAGAGTAGTTCAGTGACAGTCTAGGTCAAAAGGCAGGCAAGGTCCAGAGTAGTCAGAGTCATCCATCTTCAAAAGGCAGGCAGAGTTCAGAGAATAGTCAATATCTGATCTGTGGGAATCAAGATGACAGAACAGGACAGACAAACAGGGAGCTTTAGCACATGTAACCAGCGCTATCACAAGCATGAGACTACAGGCTTGGCTGGCTTAAATCAGGTTTGTTCTCCACCCAGAGACTGGCCACATCAATTACCTTGCAGGTGGACAGACAGACAGGGATGCATCATAGCTAAAACCAGAATGCTGAAATAGGACCAGCAGCTGTCATAGAACAAGAGCATTTACACATTCCTGACAGTTGATATTTATAGTTATAGCAAACCGCTATGGACATATCAGTCCATACACCGTTCTGTATTAAGAAAGTGCTTCAAAAGCTGTGGCTCATAAATAAAAATGCCCCCACAATCTCAAAATATAGGCAGTACATAAATGCTAAGGTAAAAATAAAAAAAAAGTAGTTCCTGAGTTCCCAGTGTTCTTTAAAGGGTATGTAAGCATATAAACAGGTACCTTTAAATGATTTATTGTTTCACTGCCATCCATTAAACACTTTTAAAGTGACTATTAGATTACTTTATATAAAACAATAATCCCTCACTTCCTAAATTTACCAATTTGTTAAACTAAATTAACTAGCACACTGGGATTCAGCAAAATGTTTCACCATGCTATCCTTGTAAAAAAAAAAAAAAAAAAAAAAGAAAAATGTAGAGACAGAAAGTCCATTAATTGATGGTTTTCATTGCAAGAAAAAATTGCTTTTGAGGAGGTGCTGTGGGGCACCAAAAGTGACTGCAGAGCTTAATCTCCGTCTTCACAGGACTGAGATTGAGCTCTCTCTGAAGTCACTTTTACAGCAGTTGTTTTTTTATTCCAGGTCACAATCCTGCTCAATGTCCTTTTGTCTCTTTCAGTCAGTTGACCATGTCACCCCCGCTTATGTTTATTAGATGACTTTTTCCCGGAAATTGTATATGCCGTCATAACCTTTGATACTGTATCTTGCAACACGGCAAATAAATTGGCAACTTCAGTCACAGAGGCACCAGCTAAGTGGGCACTAACAGTTTGCCTTCTTTTAAAGCGGAGTTCTACAAAAAACTGTAGCTACTGACTTTTAAAAAACAGCCACTCACCTGTCACACGATCCTGCGTTGCCACCGCAGCAGCCCGTTTCACCAGCCGGCCTGTATTCCAGGAGGCCAGCATCTTCAGTGTGGGCACCCAGCTGTGACAGCTTGCGGCTTCACAGCCGGATGCCCACTGCGCATGTGTGAGTAGTGCTGAGCTTCCTGAATGGACCTGTCGTCTTCTGGGACCTGTCACGTGTCCCACAAGACTTCGGGGAGGGAGGATAGGAGGACAACTTCCGTTTCCGATCGCCTAGGTGATCACAGCGGAGTGGGAGCGGGTACCTGTCAAATTCAGGTACCCAATACCCCTCCCCCGCTCCCCAAAGGTGCCAATCTTTAATGGGGAGCGGGGGACCAATCTTTAAAGCGGGACTTTCCCTTTTCGATGGAACTCCGCTTTAAGCTCAGTAAGCTCTGATGTGAGTCCATATTACTAGCAGCTCACACAGTGATTGACAGGCTTCCTACCTGTTAGCTAAGTGTCTCATCACACAGCGGAAGCAAAAGAATGTTACATTGCTTCCAACATGAAACATGTCACTTTCAAACCTCATGTAGTGTTTCCATTTTTTATCTATCCCCTGTAGTGTCTCACAGTAGTATCCTCTTCCCCCCTTCACATCACGCTCCACAAACGTGTGCTCTGCCCTCCTCTACAGTAATGTGCTCTCCCCCCCAGCAGTGTCCTCTGCCCCCATTCCAATCATCCCCCCACATTATATAATATACTCTGCCCCCCACGGTAGTGTTCTCTGCCCCCCACACATTAGTATCCCCTGCCCCGATTCACATCATTCCTTAGGGAATGTTCTTTACATAAGGCCATGTTCTTTACATAAGGCCTTGCATCAGTGTATAATCGAGTGAAAATTTTCTATTTCTGCATACTCTCTGGCTTCTAGTGTTTTTGTGCCTATATTCCCCCTGTTGCATTTTGTGCCTATAATCTCATTGATATCTATGTTTTGTCCCTTTATTCTTCTTGCTGTGGATTGATTTTGGTTTCTGACAGCATTCTTCTGGTTTTAGCATCTGCATTCTCCCTGGATATTTTTATATTTACTTACTATAGAATTGGATTGCCTTTTAATTTGAATGGGCAATGCTATGTGTTCTTTCCCATCTATAAACACATTTGGATGATTCTCAAACCAGAAGCATCTCAACACTTTTGTGTCATCCAACTGCCAGTAAAAAGAGCTTAAGGGCTCATTCACACTAGCAGATTGCATTCTACTGTGGACACTGTGAAGGGATCAATGCCGATGCATCGTAAATGATTGCATACCCAATTTCTTATTTTCATTTTTTTTTAAAGTGCGCTATACATCTGGCCTAGGTTGCTGAACCACCTACTGTACATCTGAACTTTCTGGAAGGCCCTCAGGTTTCTGAGGTCTAGACAAACCTACAGGAAGTGGCAGTTACAATTCTGATGTATCACAGTCACTAGGGAAAAAAGGCCTTAACTATCTGTCTCATGTCTGCCATAGGCCACAGTACAATTTTAGTGTAGTCGATTCCTATCTGGCTGCTGAGTTGAGCAACAAGTTAGGTTCACGTATTGGCAGCTGTAATTAGTTCTACAAGAGGATAATGTAAGTAAGGAGCAGTATCTTAAATCCACATGTTGCGCATGCCTACAGGAGAGAGTTTTCTGGAATGCACTTTTTTTAAAGTTTCCAATGGTGTGGCATAGAAGCAGAATGGTGGTCCCTAAGGAAAGGAAGACCTATTCTTTCAACCAAGTAATTTCCTGGATATGGGACTCAGATTCCAGGTTTGCAAGGGCTTCATTCTCTGCTTATGTGGGCAGAATGAGTCTGTTACCACATTGCCTTGACTGTAGACAAATCACCTCAGCAATATCCTCTTGAACATGTTGTGGACTGTG